GGGGGGGTGGGGGTTGGGGGGAGGAAGTCCTTGGAAACAACCCGCGCCGGAACATTTGTCAGACAAGCACACACACCCACTTCGAAAAATCGAGTCGGTGTGAGGGGGCCGGTGGCAACTGAAGGCGCTCAGCGTTGACTGCCGCCGGCTGCTTCCCCTGGAAGAAGACGAGCCAAGCAAATCCGGCCGGTGTTAAATTTCACCGCGCACTGACTTGCAATGACATCACCAAACACAGTGCACACCCACCCCCGTCCGCCCCGCAACCTTCCCACAACCCGCACCCAGCCCCGGTGCCCCGGGTCCGCAAGCCCCTGGGCTGGCCGCACCCCGCGCGCGCGCGCTGCCACCTTGGCACCACCTGGACCCTCTTGCTTCCCACGCGTTTCTTCCTCCACGATTCCAAAACGTGTAGGTGACTAGTTTCCTTCCTTGGTCGAAGCGTCCATGTACCTACGATTTCCTGTTTCAGCAGTCCTCAATTTGATGCTTTCCTCTTGCGTGTCACCCATCCCCAATCCTTTTCCCTAGCCTCTTCACACACACACACACACACACACACACACACACACACACACACACACACACACACACACACCTGAAATTAATCTCAGCTCAGCGGAGTCTTTACTAATCCCCAACTTTCCTGCTTTTTTTTGCAGTGATTGCGGCCTAAGTCATGTTTGTTATAAACTGACTGCAAGGGTGTTCATGTCTACCTTTCCTCCCTTCACTCTTTCCTTGCCCCCCTTACTACTTTCTAGTGAATTTTCTTTCCTGTAATCCACTTTTCTGACTTCTGCTGTTCTCCCTCTTACAAGCATGGATCAATGGTCTGCATTTACGCATCAAGCATAAGCTAAGAGGCGATAGATAGCCTTATCTTCTTCAATTTTTCTAACAAATTTCTTTTTTTTTTAACTTAAGCCTCTATCCCCCCACAGCCTTTTCATACTGAGAAGTCAGCCTTCCAATTTTTGCCAAAAAAAATTTTTTTAAGTTCTGATTTTATCTTCCGTATTAATAAGACTGGAAATTCCAGGAGGCCAGGGATCTATTATTTTGTTGATCCTTTTATTTTTCAGCATCTAAAATACTGTTTGGTATGTTTGCTTAATGAATGACTGCTGTATACCACTGAAAATCATTTCTCCAAGTTTTCCTTGTGTATTACGTGCACCATCCACAGCAAATGACCCTTCCACATGCTGAAAGGCATCCCACATTACACACATATGATAAAGGTTAAAGTGACCATATTGATTAATGAAAATGATTGATGTGATCCTTAGAATTTAGGGAATGTTTTCCTCCAGGAAAAATATTGGGAATTTTTTCTTCTGAATTATATAGAATTGAATTCATCTTCCTTTCCCTCAATTTTTCAAATTTTTTTGTTTTGAAATAATTTTAATTTTCATAAAAGTTACAAAAATAGTACTGAGAAATCCTGTATACCCTTCCCCTGACTTTCTCTAATGTTAATATCTTACATAACCACAGTACAACTATCAAAACCAGGAAATTAATACTGCTACAATACTATTGGCTAATCTACAGAAATTTTGTCAGTTTTCCCAAACATCCTTTGTCTGGTCCAGGATCTAATCCAGAACACTATGTTTAGATAATTAATAGATTAACAAAGAGATTAAAAATTTGTCGTATCTCTTTAGTCTCTTCCCATCTATGGAAATTTCTGCCTTCTTTTGTCTTGCATGATTTGACATTTTCAGCAGCACTGGTCAGTCATTTTGTAGGTCTCTCAATTTGGATTTGTGAGATGTAGTCTCATGATTAGATTCAGATTGTGTATTTTCAGCATAAATGCCACTGACATGATGTTGAGTCTTTCTCAGAGCATCATATTGGGTATACATATGTTGATATATCTGATTACTAGTGATGTTCACTTTGGTCACTTAGTCAAAGTGCCACAGACAGCTCTCACCACGGTAAAATCCCCACCCCTCCAAGTTTTGTAACAAAGAGCCACCGTTTCCTGGAATCCTCCTAGAAATCCAGGACTGAGGGACAATAGTCATTCTTAAATAGACTTAAACTACAGTTTTTCTATTTTTGACTACTGGTCAATTAAAGGACAGGTAGTTTTTAGATTAGTGGAAAAAATGGATGAGAATTAAGCAGATCTTAAATCACCTAATCTCTGACTCCATTTCCCCATCCATTACTTAAGGATTAAAAATATTTGTTTTTCTATTCACAATGTTGAATCTGAATATTTGAATTCTGTATGAAATGGAGTTATTATTAAAATGTATCTCAGGTTCTTTGAGTATAAGAAGAGGATAGGTGTTAGTGAGAGTTCATAGAGTTCCTATCATGTAGAAGATGCCAAAGGGTATACATACCCTAAAATGGATTATATTTGTTTGGAGGAGAGAAGGACTTTGCTCGGTAAAAAATAAACAATGTAAGGTTTAAATGTATAGAGATATTTTAGGATGGTGGAGATCCTGTTGCTCAAAACAGATTGACCTGACAGAGACCTCGAGATTTAGCTGAGCTTAAGGAAGATTGGGATAGTTGGTCACTTCATGACCGTGATATTTTCAAAGAATGCAGGTCATTTTTTTTTTGGCAGAATGTCAAGATCTATAATACATGAAGATTTCTTATAAGTCAATAAGAAAAGAGATAAATATAGAAATGTATAAAAATGGGCAAAGGGAATATGCAATTTACACAGGAAAAAAATAAAATGAGCTCAAATAAATTAAAATACTTAACCAACTTAATTCAAGAAATGCAAGTTAAAATAATAAGCTTCCATGTTTTTTTAAAAAGCAAATGACAAAGATTTTTAAGGAAAGTGTAATATCCAATGTCAATGACGGTAGAGTGAAGTGGGTACTCTTACACCAGCTGGAGGAGTGTAAATTAGTAACAACTAGAGAAAATTTGCCAATATGAATTAAGAGCCTTAAAAATGCTATATTTTTTGATCAGTGATTTTGATTCTAGAATTATATTCTAGGGAAATAGTAATCAGGTCTGCCCGTGAAAACATACGCATAAGCGTGATCATAGCATGATTATTCTATTTCTAAATAAACAAATTAAGGCACATTCATATCATGTAATATTATGCAACAATGAAAAAAATTACATTTTGAAGTATATTTCCTCATGCAGAAAATTCTTACAATATTTTAAGTGGAAAAAACTGGATGAGAAACTATATACAATACAATGCAATACAATACAATACAATACAATACAATACAATACATACGTATAGTGTGTATTATATATTCTAGAATAAAAACTGAAAGGAAATATACCAAAATAGTAATAGTAGCATAAAAATAATTTCTGGGTGTGAAATTAGTAATGATAAATTAAATTTTATCCTTTTTTTATTTTCTCATTTTTATTTTTTTACCATAAGCATGTATTTTTACATAAATCAGAAAAAGAACTAATAAAAGCTTCAAGATTGAGGGAAATAGCTGGATTGGGCTCCTGAAGAGCGTGTGGATAGTTTGAAAAAACTAACATGAAGAATGTGCTAGAGAAAAATTAAAAAGACATAATAAATAAATTAAAATGAGTTGGTGTAACAGAGAAAGGCAGGTCCATAAAGTGAGCAGGGACAACAAAATAGGCAGATAGATACATACACACTTGCGTAGTTGTGCTAGGGGGAAAACTGCATTTTAAATGTGACGTTGTAAGTTTTTCTTTAAAAGTCTCCTTACGTTTTCTCCTCCATAACATGTTAAAGCAAGCTGGAGCCCTCTACTGGAATGGTATTCTAGGAAAGCTAGAATTTGTATTTGAAATTATAAACTGACAGGTTCACATGCCTCTAAACAAAAATGAACTCAGGGGTTGTTGTTTTTTTTCATTCAGTTCTTCTAAGACTAATTTTCAACTAACTGTATATTAATTTTTTCAATGTTATATGGCATAAGGGCAAAGGTTATTGTTTTACTATTGAAAAGGATAGTCCAAATAGACGTGAACTACAGAAAACTCGCAATTAGGTGAAATAGTTGCCTTGCAACTGGCAAACATTTGCTTAAATTTGGAATCTTATTTAGAGGGTAACTTAGGAGTTGAGAAGGTTGAGATAAGAATATAGTAGGGAAAAAAATCAAGATTGTGAATTTCAAATGTAAGGCAGGTTATGGTATACACTTTTCCTTTAGAATGCATTTGAATAATACTCACTATTTGTAAGTATTAATGAGGCCAAATATTGGGTTGTCAGGAAAGTAATGACATATTTTTTCTATGTTTTTTGTTGCAAAAATGTGTCATGACTTTTCCAACAACCCAATAAAATGTCTTGTTTCTCATGTTTCATTATATCTTTGGTTCTTTTATAAGGTTTATTTTCCCCATGTGAAATCAGCACTACAATTTTCCAACAATTTATGTCAAATATTTAGTGTATTTATATAAATACTCATATAAAATTCTATAAATTTTATCATAGAACCTAATTAATAGAAGCCAGTGATGCAGTAACATCAAAAGTCAGATATGAACTGATTGTGGATAGTAATCTGCCTGTGGTAGCACATCCAACTCATACTCATGATTCTCTATCAGCATCATAGTTAAAATGCCTCTCACATTACAAAGAACATTAGAAAATTCAATATGGAACATTTCTATTTTATATTTTCCAACAATTTCCAACTATATACAGATGCCACACTTTTTCAAAAAAGGAAAAACAAAGTAATGATAATTTTTTTTTATTTTTTTTCGCTGAGCCATCCTGCCACCTGTTGGCAGCTCAGCGGCAGCTCAGCTCGGGCTGGGATTCGAACTGCTGTTGCTCAGAGCTCAC